CAGTCATCTTTGCCATCTCTGCCTAGGGTGGAATGTGGAGCCTCCTCCCTGCCCTGAAAGTGACTCAGGGCAACCTTAATCCATCCTGCAGTACCTCCCTAAAGGCAGGCTCCTCAAAATGCTCCATCCAGTGGCTTTACTGGTAAGTTTGTGAAGCATGATTTAGTGTTTATCGGGTCATCAGTGAGCACAGATTGAGTGGAGTTGTAGGGAAGAGGTTATGCCCTCCTGCAGATCCTCTGGTACAGGTCTCTGCTTTGGAAAGGGCACTTGCTTACTGCGGTGGGTTTGGGGCTGGTTGAAGGAAGGAGTGAAGTTTTGCTGGGGTGACTTGTTTGCGTAGCTGATGTTTTATGACATGAGGCATGTTCCAACTCTCGTTAAGAGTCTTTGTCGAGCCAAGGCCCATAGCTTCCACCTGTTCCGCCAAAGCCCTGGGCTTACAGTTCTCACAGAGACCAGTGGGAGAATGATTATGTTTACTAGTTGGAGCTGAGATCCTGCGGCCCTCCGTTGTGGGTGACCTGGATGGGGTGAAACAAAGCTCCCCTAATTAGCTTTTTTGCTTTCTCCATAAACACTAGATTGTGAAAGTAGACTACCAGTACAATTATAGTGAGCTGACCCGCTCCGCAGGGTCAGTTCCTGACAACCTGCCCTCCTCTGTGGTCACTGCATGGACACCTTACACTTCCGTTGTTCGTTCATCCTGCCCCTGCCCCTCTGTCCCACTCTAGCCTGACTCCAGCATCCTCTGCCTCAAGGCTGGGGAATTGAGTCCTCTTGACGGCTTTCCCCAATCCCACCCCAGCTTCCAGGCTGCTCAGGCACCCCACCCCAGCCTCTGGGCTGTGTAGGTACCCTGTTCAGTGACCCCATGACACTTTCCATTGCACTTACCACATGGATGCCTGTGTTCTGTCTACATGTCTGCGAGAGCAGGTGTGGGGTCTCATTGGTCTTAGGATACTTGGTCCCTAGCCAGGCCTGGCATACTATGTATGCTCAGTGAATTTTTGTTCTTGATGAGAACCTTAAAGGAAGCATAAAATGCCTGTATGCTGCATTGATCCTGTAAAGCCTGTGGACCAGAACTCAGGTCCTTGGCTCCCCAGTGGAGTCCCTGGGTCCCAAACCAGAGCAAATGGAGTCTCTTTTTGGATGTCATTCCAACAAGCCTGATGGCCTGGTTACTTCAGACAGCAAAGAGGCCATTAGGGGAGAAGGGGAGTTATTGAT